TACTGTTTCAGTTTCCTTTATAAACCTAAATCTAATCATTAAATGAATAGTTACTCTTTTATTTGACATTGCATCGAAATATGTTCTCTTTCGTTTTTTCTTTCCAATATTATATAATTGATTATATATTTTCAACATTAGAATTTTTACCCTGGCTCATTAGTTTTCCTCACTTTTTGTTAGTTAGTTAGTGTGTGTGTGTGTGTGTTCATAAATTCCTTTTTCATTTGGGTTATCTCTCATTTCATGCTTTCTCAAGTCTATCTCACCATATATACATCTATGTCTGTATATGAATATAAACATAAAGAGTACAATGTATTAATGTGTGTGTGTATATATCTATATATACATTTATCGATAACTATTCATCAATTCATTGATTTGTTACTCTTCTACTTGCTCCTTAGTAATATGGAACAGTTATAATAATAACAGTAGTAACTATACTAATAATAAGTAACTCTTTAAATTTCTCTCTCATATGGTTTTGTAATAAGACCAATATTCTAGGAAACGCACATATATATAAACACACACACATATATATGTATATATACCGCATAACGATTAAAATGACAAGCATACATATCGAATGTCTACTTCTAGATCTATCGATTAATATGAATTCATCTTTTAACTTTCTTGAATGAATTCTTTCTTGTTTTTTTAATCTGTTTGACAGTTCGTTGTTTATTTCTATTTTTGACAAGAATAATCAAACATATAGGAGATAGGATAGAATAATACTAAAAGTAATGTTATGTCTAAAGGATGAGTTATCTTATGAAAAATAGATCAAAGAACATGGATAATAATTCTTGAAAAAAAAAATTTGATCCAAAAAAAGGGATTTAAATGAATATCAGTTGGTTGTTTTTTTATTTTTCCTAGGCATTTCTATGTGATTAGATAGAAAATGTAAGATACCTTGGTTTTAGGTTTCATACTCAATGGTATTTGGCAACAAGAAGTATTTAAAATCTTAAAGAAAATAATGTTTCATGTGTGATTAGAAGTTGAGTTGTCTAGTTTCATAATCTATGATCTTATACGCAAGTTAAGAGTATCTAAAATAACTTCCTGTTGAAATGAATTATTTTTTATAGTGGTTAATCACTAAATAATGATGAATACGATGTTATTCGAATTTTTACTACGATTGTGTTACAATGTGGTTATTAGTATAATTGACCTGACATCATATGCCTTATATTTCGATGTTAGGCGATTCGAGATAGTCAGTAAGAAACCTTAGACTTAAGTTATATGCTAATGTACTAACCTATTTTTTTAGATATCACTAAATAAGGTTTGTATGTTGCATATGTAATTAAACCTTCTATTTGCATATGTACTTTGTAGAAAAAGATTGTTATAATTTGAATATAGTTTTATTTCTATAAGTGATAATTTATTATGAAATTAGTTTAGGATACTACCAAACTGAATAAAGTACATATCAGATTACAAAGTTCTCTGTTTAGTGATATGTTCATTAAATAGAAATCAAATAAATCTCTAGATTTAATCATGAATTTCATTAACTGTATGTAGAATTGAATTAGTCTTGAAAAATCAGATCTAGGCGCAGATATTCGTCAATGGAAGTTTGAAAGTAGCATATCCAAGATTATTGAATAATATCATTTGTCATAACATAATGAGAAATATTTTCATTTTTGAATTATTACAAATTGTGGATGCGCACTGCTGAGGAGTTCCATTCTAGGACGAAACGGTCATCCATTGCTTCCAAGTTTTCCATGTTGGGCTAGCTTCAATTGCCTAATGATCTCAGCTATTGAACTTACTACAATCCCTACAAAAATCCTTCTGATACTAATACAAATTGGTTTTCATTTGTGTTTAGTGTCAGAAACCTAGTTCATTAATAATTCAATCGTTGAGAAATATGTCAAATTAGATAGTTGTTCAGTTTTTGTATAATCGTTGAAGGGAATTTTATTTTACACCATTCATAAAAGTGAAATCGATATTGTTTAGTTTGTTTTAATGTTATACTATTATTGTTTTAAATTTGATCCTGTCACAAGTTGGTCTAGCAGTCAATAATGTAGAATTAGGCAAATGTATGTGTTGTATTCTAGTGGTGAATAAATTACGGGTGACTTCTGAGAACTATTAATGAACTAATATTATATATTTTTTCTTATTGTATAACTGATCAGTAACCAGATTATGTATATCTATATTCTTACTATTATAAGCTTCGTTTTGATCTATAGATCACTAGTATAAGATTTACTGTTCGTAATCTATGTTCAGTTTATTGATTACAGTCTCCCACGTTCACAGCCACTTTTTGGCTTGATCTTGTATAAATGTTATTTCCTATTTTATAGTGTGATGCGATCTTTTTGGCTGGTATATAAACTAAGTATATTTGAAATAAATTATTTGTATAGTAGAAGCTGTTATTGACGTTCTGGACTCAACTTGCAGGGCTAAGAGGACAAAGGACCATTAACAACGTTAGCCTGCTCATACTGGTCGAACGTCATTGGTTCAGCACAGTGCTTAAATTGTATAAGTCGTATTCCGATTGATCGATAAGTCACGTGATAATTAGTCGAACTTAAAGTCACAACAGTATGCATCTGTTCAAATTGTCACAGTTCATCAGAAGAATCAAATGAAATTGTCAAAATAAATGTCACAATGACTATAGCATTAATAACATCAGTATCAGTAGAAAAGATTAGGTATAGATAAGATGATTTGCAAAGTATCAGTACTGTACAACGAAGGTTGAATACATTTGCACCAATAAAAGTTAATCAAAGCTCAATGAGTTTCTAAATTAATGTCTAGATTTCAATAGATGCTAATGTATGAGAACTAACAAAACTTCTAAGATAAATGAAAAGGTCAACATACACAATTACTTTAATCTGAATTATTAGTTTAGTCATTGAAAAGTCTAAAACTCAGATAAAAATGTTGGCTAAACTATTCATTTTTTTGACATCAATATGTTTTTATTTTGAATCGATATCAATTCGTGATTGAAATATATATTATTTTCAAATGTAAAAAAGAGCCATAGTAACCATAGTAACCACAGTAACCACACATAGAGATTTACATTAAATTCAATGTTCTTTTTTTATTTAAAAAAATTAGTTTACAACGAAAATGATTTAAAATTCGTACAGGAATTAGATATAAAGATTTCTATAGTCTTTTCACAGTTTTTTTGAAATCATGAGTCAGTTGAAGCTAGACCACCATTGAAAACCTGGATTTCAAAAAAACTGTGAAAATTCTAAAATTCTCCACAAAACCCATTCTGATAATAATAATCAACTGCTCACTAGTGACTGACTTCAGGAAAAACTCCTGAAGTTCTAGTGAGAAGCCGTTACCAGTGGAGTTCAACCGGTCTGTTGTGAGATAACAACTCACTGAAGACAATGGTGTACGGTGGCGCAACTTCGTGGATTGGTTGAAGTTAGACATTAACACCGTTGGATGCCGGCTCAGTGGTCTAGTGGTTAAGTGCTCGCGCGCGAAGCCAGTAGGTCCTGGGTTCGAGCCCCGCGTGGTGCGGGATCGTGGATGCGCACTGCTGAGGAGTCCATACCAGGACGAAACGGCCGTCCAGTGCTTCCAGGTTTTCAATGGTGGTCTAGCTTCAACTGACTCATGATTTCAAAAAAACTGTGAAAATTCTAAAATTCTCCACAAAACCCATTCTGATTTCTATAGTCATTAAATAGATGTTTTTTTTTGAAGTCACACTATATAATTTGTAATTTATTGTACTATAAATTGACTTAATTCAGAAATAGTTGAAATTGCTGAAAGTCTTTAGAAGCTAGTAGAAAGAACATTTTAAACTCTGAAATGTTTCTTGAATTATACGTTACATTGATTAAATGATTAGTTAATTTGTAGTTAAATTTTCCTATGTTTCCAAAAGTTTCCAGTAGTTAAAAGTTATCAATAAATGTGTAAATACTTTCATCTCGTAAATATAAACTATCATGAACCCGTTGAAACATCATTTAAAAAATTATTTCACATACTTTAATTACTCATAATAAAAAAAGAAAACAAAACTACTTAGATATGTTACGAAATCATATGTTGACTCCTCAGCAGTGAGTATCCATGATCGCGCCTCGCGAGATTCGAAATCAGGGCCTATTAGTCTTGCGCGCCAACGCTTAACCTCTAGACCATTGAGTTGGTTGGCATCCAACGGTGTTCATGTCTAACTTCAACCGATCCACGAAATTGGGTGACACATTCACCGTTGTCTTCAGTGACTTACTATCTCATAACTGACCCAGTTGAACTCTGGTCATTACTTCTCACTAGAACTCCATGAAATACCTCTCGAAGCTATTCACCAATGAATTATACTTAATGTAATAACTAAACTTTTAAGATAATCCTTGTATAGTAAATGTGAACAGATGTTCTTCACCATATGTTTATTTTTTTTATTGATTCTTCATTAAAACAACAACAAAAATATTCACATATTTTTTAAAATACTTTTTTATTTATTTTAACTTTGTTCTCACGTATTCACGTACATACAACCACTGTCAGTTCTAAGTCCTACTCACTGCCTTCTCGTGGTGAGAGTGTTGTTTACGAAACTTAGAGGACAAAAAGCGAATATCTGGCTCTTTAATCAGTTTGATGAACACAAAGAGTTCACCTACAGGAGTTGGAATACCCTGATTTCAAACCAATGGTATACATGTGTTCCAGTATCCTCATGGAACAAATGGTTATCATAGCATTGCATCTCCTTACTTTGCTCCACTACCTTATGTATCCGATCTTGAGGTCAAATTTTCCGAGTATGGCTACTTAATTAAGCCAATTACTTCGACTTGGGCATTTGAACAATATTCTATCCCTTACATAAATCAAGTGACTTATGCCTCTTTGTGTTTAAATATAATATAATACCTTTTCCTAATTATTTCTCTTTCTTTTCTTTTTCTTTTTTTTCAAAGATTTATTTTAGCTAGTTCTGTTTTACATGATAAAGATGTACTTGGTGGACGTATTAATCAATATGTTGATGTCACTGAATTTACAATACATCGTTTACGTATAGAATATATTCATGAAAATTTAATCAATAATAATTTATTAAAAAATTCTAATGAAAATTATTTAATCAATATTAATCAATCAATCAATAATCATTATCAATTACCAATACGTTTAATTAAAATAGGTAATCATTATAATCAGAAATTAACCAATCAATTATCTTCTAAATTATCCTCATCATTATCATCATTCAATTCGAATCAATTTAATAAACCATTACGTGTATGGATTATTGGACAATATATTGGTAATGTTAAATTATATTTATCACCAATTAATAGAAATTTATTAAATACATTTATACCGCCAGGTTTAATAAAACAATTAAAAGATCATACATCAATACAATTACATAATGATAATCAATCATTATTATTAAAAAATGATGAACAATTTAAAGAGCCAAGTATAACTGTTCATGTTACAGATGAAACAAGTATATGGCCTGTTGGATTATCTGCACAATTAGTAACAGGTTAGTTTATAGAATCTGTTTTGTTTGTTTGTTTTTATTATGTTAGGATGAGATATAAAATTAAATGGTGGTTGGAGGTGTCGATAGGAAACCCAGGTTTTGTGTTACTTGGCACTCGGTCGCTGCCCGGATAGCTTAGTGGTAACGTCTCTGACTGTGAAGCTGGGTGACACGGAATCGAATCTGTCAGGGAGCACAGTTCTCTCAAGATTACAAGTACACCTTGCTGACGAATACCAGGTAACACGAAACCAGGGTCCAGGGTTTCCTGTTGACTACCTCCAACCACCATCTAAATCTCAATACATAGTGCCCGCAGTGTCGAGTCACCTAGGCTGGTGGCCACATTGCAACATGATCGATAGCATTTGATCTGCACTAATAAGCACTAATAAGCACTAGACAAGCATGACATTGATCACTAACCACCCAGTGATCAATCAGTTGTGATTACGAGATATAAAAAAAAGGAGAATATGTTTAGATTCATTGTAATGTTTGTATTATATTTTCATAGTTGGGATTATAAAATGATCTTAGATAGATTATTACCGAAAAGCTGAGAGTAATGTATTAATTCCTTATGCTCGACTAATCAACTCATGTGATATGACAGTTAACTAGAGATACCAATTTATACGATCAGAATAATGACGTCTAAATCGACACGAATACCCTAGAGTTCTTATTAGTTCACTGAGAGTAATATCGGTGAGATTATAATTTATGGACAAACCAATCCAATTTGGGATAACAAGTCTTGAATTTTTGAGACAGATTCATTCTCCAAATTAGTTAAATAGAGTTTTAGCGTTATAGCTGATGTCAGTTCGTGATGAAAATCTTAAATCTAATTCTTAATCTTAACCATCAACCGTAAATCATAACTCTAATTCCTCAATCACGTTTATAACCCTCATTCGGTTATGGTTATTAGGTGAACACTCTCGAAGTCAGTCTAGCGTCGCCTAAATATCTTCCATAAATTATAGTCTCACTGTAATATCTTCTCTTCAAACCCAGCCAGTTTAGTCCGGAATGTCAATATCAGCCTCCGCAATACAAATCATATATTTTGGACATATTGGGTTTATATATAAATAAACCAGACAGCATCAAATCATGAATAGGAAATAACAATTATGCAAGATGAAGCCAAAACGTGACTGTTACTAATAAATTAGGAATATTTCAAGAATAGTGAATTATATGATAACAGTCAACAGGTTAAATAAAAGCTTATAATGAAAGAAATATGAATATATATATATAATATAGTTACTTAAGAGTTAAACAATAAGAATATACACACAATATTAGTTCATAAATATTCCTAATGGTTATTATTTATTTATTCTCGTTCGGATATAAGACACCGGATAACGATTTCATCCCATTAAGGGTGGGAATCCTCAGCGGTTTGTATCTGAGACATCTCACTCGAGGATCAGACCCAGGATCTCTGTTCTCTTGCGTGAACGCTCAGTTTCTGGATCACTGAGAGGGCATCCAACGACGCAATATATATATATATATATATTACCATCGAAGTGAAAATAAAATCCAACATAGGGCCTCCTCGCGGAGCTATTGGGTAGTAGGGTCAATTTTGTAGCTATCTTAGACAGTCGACAGAGATCGGACTAATCCATCACTCAGCTGTAAATCAGATTAAACGGTTTCTATTCTCGAGGCTCTCTAAAAGTCTTTTGGTGCTACCTGATATGTATGATTATGTACATGAATTACATCAGTCTGGACTAGTGTGGTTTGTTCATGTAGGTATATACTATGGGCACACTCGTGAGTTAGCACAAAAACGTAGGCTGAAATATTTCTGTCTTTCAGATCGAGGATATAATGAAAATATATGGCAGCAAAAAATTCAGATAGGTGATCATCAAGCTTCCTTGAAAAAGTGCTTATGCTCAGTTGTATATCATGAAGTGCAGAGGCGAAAGCCATCGTAACAGTGATATGCATGTAATGCGTTGTATCAAATACGTTCTCAGGCAGCAGTGACCATCTACCCTTACAGTTGGATGAATATATCTGTATGTGTGCTACATATTGCATGAATGAAAACTCGTGTGTTGCTGGTGTGGATGTAACGTATATTTACCCACAGGTGAATTATACCTCTATGTATACCAATGGATAAACAGGTGAGAACTTTTGGGTTACCGGTATGCATGTAGATGAAACATGCTCATGGTATGACGCCCACTCACCGAGACCTGGAAGTAACAATTTCCGTCTAAATTACATCCACATGGTGGGTTTTTGAGCGATGAGGAATAGAAACGATTTCTAGAAAACCCAATCAACTTTATCAGAAGATTGAAAAATTTTGCATATCATAACAGTAACTAAACAGAAGATTAAAGGTAAATTAAGCGACTGTACGAAAATGTTTCATATACAAATATAAAGTTAATATTTGGTATTCCATGTCTCCATTGGGAGTAACAGGCGTAAGTGAGTAATTAAGTAATTGGTATTCCCATTGCTTTATCTGTATATTTTGAAAATGAATTCTAAAAGTATAGGTCAAATTCGTTGAAATTTATTAAGCAAACTTGAAAGTTAAATTTGTATTGATGATGTAATTAGTATCGACTAAATGATTAAATCAAATCAAGTTTATTATTGATTTCGTTAATTATTCGATTAACCATAAGGATTAATGTTCAGAGATACGATGGTGTATTTGTTTTGTTACGCTTTCATTCTTTCGTGTTAATTTAGTGTGCACAGATCTCAATGTTTTTTTTGTTTTAAGTATGAATTTTCAATGTAATAGTAATTTCAGTAGTTAAGATCATGAAGTTAGACGACCACGGAAAACTTGGAAGTACTAGACGTCCGTTTCATCCTATTATGGAACTCCTCAGAAGTGCGCATCCACGACCTCGCCTGGCGGGATTCGAACTCAGGACCTATCGTTCTCGCGTGAGGCAGGATCGTGATACACACAGCTGAGGAGTCCTAAAGTATGACGAAACGGTCATCCAGTGCTCCGAGCTTTCAATAGTGGTCCAGCTTCAACTGACTCATGATCTCAACTATTGAAATTACTACAATCTCCACAAAACCCTTTTGATACTAATAGTAATTTACTTATATATAAGGTGAAAAAAGGATAATATATTTCATTGACTCATATTATTGAAGTCATAACTAGAATGTATCTGTATAGTTCATTATGAATTTCGACTAGTTGTATTTTCTTCCGTTAATTTATTTTATCTATTGAAGTGTTCTTGTTAAATAAAATATTGATTAAATGAACAATATGCATCGTGTTTTCCCCCAAACGAATGTCAACTATGTAACAATTAGAATATTACTGAACAATGAAAAATAAATTTTATCTTACTTTAGAACTCCTCAGAGGTATAAAACAACACACCATTGAATTAACTGCTTCTATGAATCCAGTGTTTGTCTTGCTGTGCTAATGAGGTGTGACAACTTGGACCAATGCATGTATGTGCCTGGTCGTGCGTTGTAACTGACTGACTGAACTATTATCAGTGAGTTCTTGTTTCGCTCATTGAACCAATCCATATTCAAATATTTTCATTAGAACTTAGTGATAGATGCCATCATTAGTTTGTATAATTCTATCAATAAAACACTGCCTATAGAAATTGAAGTTAATTTTGGTCTATTTACGAATGTCCGTTTTATAGTAGAATTATCAGAAAACCTAAGATGTTAATGTCAGGTTTATTATTCAGTTATATTTCTAATTCGGATACCTATTGTATGCGGGTAAATATTTAGTGTTATGTGATCTTTTCTTAAGTATTATTTATAATCAACAGAACACTATATGGAAAGCTGTGTTATTCTAACTATTTACTCCTGAATATTGAGTATTTAAGATAATTCCAGGGACATTTACTTTCGTACTTACCAACGGTATATGTATACCTATACAAAAAACATACTAATTAAAAAACCAAACAACAAATATCTTTCAAATTGTTCTATTTTTATTATACTTACTTACACCTGTTACTCCTCGTGAAAGAGCATAGGCCGCTCACCAGCATTCGCCATCCAACCCTATCATGGGCATTTCTTTCCAGCTCCTTCCAGTTGTTATTTATCCTTTTCATATCTGATTCTGTTTCCCGACGTAATGTGTTCTTTGGCCTTCCTCTTTTGCGCTTCCCTTCAAGATTCCAAGTTAGTTATTATAAGTAGCATAAATTAAACATAGAATTGAAGTGTAACAGCGTGAATTTAATTGTGTCTACTCATTTGTCATTGGTAAGATATATTCATTATTGAATTGAATAAATGGATTATTCGAATAAAATCTACCAATGAGTTTGTTATCACTTAAAATTCATCAATTCATATATATTGTGATAACAGAGAGGACGTAAATTATGATCATTTATGAAAGCATTATTAAACATATCAACGGAATTCTTATGAATAAGAAGTATCAATTTACTAAATACTTATTCATTCGTTAGTTTATCCTCTTTAGTATATATGGATGTTTTTATTGTGTAAGAATACAATCTTTTAACTACTTACGTAAACCATTTTACTGTTGTAACACCACTGAGTAGGCATCTAACGATGTTAATGTCCAACTTCAATCTATCCAGTTCAATGGTTTGAAGGTTAAGTGTTCACGCGAGACGATAAGTTCTGATTACGATTCCTGTGTGCGGATTCTTGGATGCACACTGTCAAGCAGTACCATACTAAGATGAAACAGTCGTCCAGTGCTTCCAAGTTTTCAATGATCATCTATTTTAGATTGACTCATGAATTCACTGGATAAAAAAATACTAAAATTGATTTCGTATATAAAATCTATGCACTAATACATGAATTATCCTTTTTATTTTTTAATAGATTTCTCTATCTCTGTTAGTCATTCATCCGGTATGGATGATACACATCAAAGAACAAGTTCAACGTTATCATCTTCAAATAGTAATAATAATAATAATATTGATAATAATAATAATGATAATTTATTCTTATCATCATCTACAGAACGTATGCCAATTCTATCTGGTGTTTATTCACTTAAAGTTGAATTAAAAGGTAGTAAGTTAACTCATAGTGGATCAATTAATTCAGAATTTAATCAACCTAATTTAAATACACATAGAAAAATGTCAATATTATCTAATAATAATGATAATTATCATTTTAATAATAAAACAAATCAATTAAATGCAATTACAATGGGTAATCCTATTGGATTTCTTATTGTATGGATACATTTATCTGATGGTTCATCTATTTTATGGAATCGAATGACTGAGGTATGTAATTTACATAAATAGTACAATTAATTGTTGTGCTAGTAAATTTTTTCTTCTTCTTAAAAGTACTTAATGGAAGTGTAATACGAAGCAATAAATGTCTGAGCATGGGAAAACCATCAGACCCTTTCAAATCTGCCGCCGTTCTGTTTCAACGACCTTGAATGGTCTTATAAGAGGAGGTTATTCCATATTTCAAATACTGTGGGTTTGTTGGGTGTCCGTTGAGTTGCACGAATGTCAGGTGTTCTCATATTTAAGTGGTCTTTTGCTGCGGCAAAACCAAAAAATCATTGCGAAGAACATTGATTTAACACTCTGTCTTGTAGTGCACACGTTGGACCGATTGTTGCTTCATAACTTCCCAATCTCCCCATTTTGGGGATCATTTTGGTTGGAGGCGTCCTGTTCTGAATCGCGGATATATTGGGACATACCGGTATCCTTGCCGTCATATGCTTCTGGCATATATAAGAAGACGAACTCCTCCAAGCAAGCTCGATCAATTACGAAACATAAACTGTATAGTTCATCATAATGAATTTTACTTGCCTGAGTTTGCATTGTTACAAATAACCACATTAGGCTGACTAAACATTTACCCAGGTTGTAAGCAACAAATACGTCAAATTACTAATAAACTAAAATAAAAGTTATGTAACAAGCACAAGCATTACGAAAAGTGTCGTGTGACGGAAAAAATGCTGTTATTAGCTGATAAATAACGATATCCCAAAATCCTCAACAATCTGTAACCTGTATACGAAAACCTATCGCTTAACATCCAGACCTTTCCAAATATCTGTTATCTTGACATTTAGTATACTACTTTCTATACAATTACTCAATATGACCAATTACATATAGAGAAAACGATTGATAAATTCATTCTAAAAACTATTTGTTTCATATAACATAATCTTGATGGTTTGATCATTATTATTTTAACTTATGGTCATCAAAGAGAACTTTTACTTTGAGTAGCATAAGACAATGAGATTCCTAAAACAAAATCGGTTTAATGATTTAAAAATTAATTTAGAAACAATACCCTTGATATCATCTTCTTGACCATGAAAAGTGATGCTTCATAATGATCTATATTCTGCGGTACTTAATAAATGTGGAGTATATTTTCTGCAGATAAAACTCTAATGTGAAGTATAGGTGATTTATTTCTATTCATTGAACATCAAAGCTTTCTATTAAAGATTCAGAAAATTATAATTATTATCTAACCATAAAACAAAACAGGTATTTGAATTATGCTAAAAATAAATTCAATAATTTTGGGTAATCAAACTTTGTTGATGAGTATCAATTTTTAGCAAGTTCGTGAGTTAGTTTTCTACGGGATGAGGTCCCTAAACCTATGCCCAACCCTCCTTCCTCCTTGAGGTTGGCAATAATCCCAGAAGAGCTACAGGTGGAGTTAAAGTTTATTTTGTCAATTCATTTGAATAATTTAAAATCAACTTACTTACTTACTTACGCCTGTTACTCCCAATGGAGCATAGGCCACCGACCAGCATCCTCCAACTCACTCTGTCCTGAGCCTTCTTTTCTAATTCCATCCAATTTTTGTTCATTCTTCTCATGTCTATCTCCATTTTTCGGCGTAATGTGTTCTTTGGTCTTCCTCTTTTCCTTTGACATTGAGGATTCCATGTGAGGGCTTGTCTTGTGACGCAGTTCGGTGCTTTACTCAATGTGTGTCCTATCCATTTCCAGTGCTTCTTCTTAATTTCTTGCTCCACTGGAATCTGGTTTGTTCTCTCCCATAATAGGTTGTTACTGATAGTGTCTGGCCAACGGATCCGAAGTATTTTGCGTAGACAACTGTTAATAAATACTTATATTTTCTGGATGATGGCTTTCTTAGTTCTCCAGGTTTCCGCCCCATACAGTAGAACCGTCTTGACATTTGTATTGAAAATTCTGACTTTGGTGTTGGTTGACAGTTGCTTTGAGTTCCAGGTTTTCTTCAGTTGTAAATATGCTACTCTTGCTTTACCAATCCGCGCTTTCACATCTGCATCAGACCCATCATGTTCGTCATTGATGCTGCGCATATATGTAAAGGTTTTACACCTTCCAAATCTTCTCCGTCAATTGTGATTGGATTGGTGCATGCTGCGTTGTATCGGAGAATCCTGCTTTTCCCTTTGTGTATATTGAGACCTGCTGCTGCTGAGGCTGCGTTTTTTTAGCGAGTTAGTTTTCTACGGGATGGGGACGCTAACCCCATGCCTAACCCTCCTCCTTTATCCGGGCTTGGGACCGGCAGTAGCCCCCGGAGGGACTTCAGGAGGAGTTCGTGATGATGAATTTAAAGTCAAAGCATAATTTATATGATATCTGGTTCCCTAGACTTGTGTTAACATGGCAACTTGATCAAGACATTTTCCATGACTACTGATCTCAATAGAAAAATTTTATTTTAGTTTTTGGTCAGTCTTAATTTTGCATAACTTCCTTTCATTTCTATTTTGTTGTTTTCTTGTATTGTATAAGTTATACAAAGCCCAGTTGTCTGTTCCAGAAATATAACAGATGATTACAATGAAACTATCAAGTGACATACGTCGTTAGATAAAACAACTCATTAGCATTTAATGAAAGATAGATGTATCAGATCAAAACAAAAAACATAACAAATAATAGTACCAGATAAAATAGCTCTTTTGAGTTATGTATATTTCACTAAAATTACACAGGAACTGAAATAACACATGTTACTATACTATGATATGCATAATATACAGCTATTAGTCATTATTTATGTTATCCATTTTAACGATAATAAGCAATGTATATAATGATGTTTTATGCTTGAATGAAAAGTTTCCATCTTTCACATAGACGCCTTCTAGTCATAATGCTTAAAATTTGTTATTAAATAGTTATATTCAGTCTTATTGTCATATAAAGCTATTATAAGTAGACTCTTTAAATTAGTATTACACTAACAAACTAAAGCATATCCAAAGAATTTCTACAAATAAACTAGTAGCTTCTTTCAAGATGTTCAAGAATTTCAAGAAAGAGTAGTAGCTGGTGGAGTTCCGACATATTAAAAGGACTATGTTTTCACCATTGGTTTGGTTAAAGCTGGGTTTGGACTAAAAGAAGTCAGCCCAGTAGTCTAAACGGTTAAGCATTCACAGCTGAAAATCCTGGTTTTTTACATGACATTGTCTTGAATGTATACTGCCAAGAAGTGCCATACTAGAATGAAAAATTTATCTTGTACTACTTGATCCTCAGTTATACTCTTAATCAAATCAGTCTCTAACAAATGTTACCATATAAAAAACAAATCAATCAGCTCATACACCATATACTAGTTGAAATTTTTAAAAAGTTAAATAAATGAATAAAATCACAGAGAGAGGTTTTTTAGATATTATGATAATTTATAATTGAATTCATGAATCGATTTAAACTAGACCATCATGAGAAACCTGGAAGCACTGGATTGCCGTTTTGTCCTAATATGGGACTCGTCAACAGTGTTCATCTAAGATCTCAAAACCTATCGGTTAAACAATTTTGTTTATATAATTTCAACAGTTGAGGTCACGAGTCAACCGGGTCAGTCGTGAGGTAGTAACACACTGATGACATGGTGGATGTGTCGCTCAATTTAGTGGGTTAGTTGAAGTTAGACATTAACACCAATGAATGCCGGCTCAGTGGTCTAGTTGGTTAAGCGCCTGGCGCGAGACTGATAGGTCCTGGGTTCAAATCCCTCAAGGCCGGGTCGTGGATGCGCACTGCTGAGAATGAAACGGCCATTCAGTGGTTCCAGGTTTTCCATTGTGGTCTAGCTTCAATTGACTCATGATCTCAACTGTTGAAATTACTACAATTGACAGAAAAACTAATTTTTATCATCCAAATTTTTACAACAAAAAATTTCTTTCAATGTTCTGACTTATCTTTTTTTTCTATATCAAAATTGGTTTTAATTTAATTAAATCTACGATCAATAATAAACGGATTGATCAACCAATCAAATGATGACTGATAGATAAAAAGGAGGAAAAAATAAATTTAACATTTATTTTTGATGAAAGAAATTGTATATAAGAATTTATTGAAATGATAGAAACAATTATATATATATATAGATAGATTGCTATTTTACTTGTATACTCCTATCGTTATTTAAGACTGAAATTCATCAGTCTCTTGTTAGCATATGTACATCCTGTACGGATTGCTTCGATATAGCTTTATAAGGATAAATGGATAGTGGCTAGAAAGTAGAATCCAATTTGACTTGTGTTTCGTCCTATTTGAGACTCGTCAGCTGGATGTACCTGCATCTCAGAGTTGATGTTCACTCCGGGACTCGAACCTAGTACCGTCCGATTCAAACGCCATCGCGCTATCCACATAGCTAATAAGTCCTGATTTCGAATCCAGGAGTGAGATCCAGGTATATCCAGCTGACGAGTCCCAAATAGGACGAAGCGCGTGTCATACTGGATTGTACTGCTAGCCACTATCCATCTTCGCTTATATATATATATATATATATATATATATATATATATATATATCTTCAAGAATCAATGATCAATATGTTTTTCTTTGCAGTCAGTTACTAAGATATTTTGTTTGTTTTAATATTCTCGAAATTGATACTTACTTACTTACTTACGCCTGTTACTCCTCGTGAAAGAGCATAGGCCGCTCACCAGCATTCTCCATCCAACCCTGTCATGGGCAATCCTTTCCAGCTTCTTCCAGTTGTTATTCATCCTTTCCATATCGGCTTCTATTTCCCGACGTGATGTGTTCTTTGACCTTCCTCTTTTCCACTCCCCTTTAGGATTCCAAGTTAGGACTTGCCTTGTGATGTAGTTTGATGTTTTCCGTAATGTATGTTCTATCCATTTCCATCGTCTTTTCCAATTTTACTTCTTCAGCTGAAAACTGACAAAATTGATATAATTGACTATTTTATGTCAGTTGAACTCGTACTCAGGAAATGAAATCTTGTAATATTGTGATCTATCAAAGAACAATAATAAAACCAAACATTACTCATTTATAGAAAGAAAAACAGAGTTTGACATAAAAGTATCCACTAGTTTAAGTTTGTGGTGGTTGGTATTCAATATAATCCTTACACTTCGTATACAGTTCGTCCTGCTAATCGTCATTAGATAACGCCCTAATGATGTATTATTCAGAAGGCGAGTATGAAGTGTTGATTAAGTTTATTATTGTGCCATGCACAGATAACCAAAACTTACAGATACGCTAAGCAAGCATGAAAGAGTAGTGCCGAAAAGCAAGTAACCAAGCGAAATAAATGAATCATTGAATAAATTAAGCGACTAATAATAAGGCTAGTAGAATGAATATATGTGTAAGCAGTAAGCAATGCTCAAGAATACATATTCATTCAAGTGCAACAATAATAAAGGTACAATGGTATAAATAAGTTTTTATTGTACGAATGACTCTATCCTTTAAATAAATTAACAAATGAGCTTAACTAAATTAAATGTGAATAAACTCAATTGCACATGAGTTGCTACTTACATTATTATAGAGAATATACTGTACAGTAGTCCTATTCATAATACTCTTTGATTATAAAACATGATTTGTGAGTATTGTGGAATGATTGAGTGAGAAATCTCATGTTTAATGAGATGCTTTAATGAGGATAGTAAATTGAATGATCAGTCTATTAAGGTGAATAGGTTTTGTTTTGTTTATGGCTAACCACTACCTACTCCAACTTATATTATTGACTTGTATAGAAGTAAGTTGGAATAAGTTCAAGGAGGACTAAACTTAAACGTAAGACCAATCCATTAATGAAAACAACCTAGTTAATCTTTGAGATAACCAAGATCAATATGTTGATTGGTAACATTTACTGATATGTCTCAAAATCAATCAAAATGAAGCAGATTGATGCATTGTTTCTCTTTTATAGATCCTGAATTAGATTTTTAACATACATTAGTTACAAATAATATTTAAAATAAGACCCATATCACTACAATAAATTCTAGATCACTTAAATTCATTAATGAGTAATTCAATCCAATAGAAACAGTATCGGTAACCATTATATACTGAGATGAGATGAACTCAAACCATTTAGCATGTGATGATAGAATTGTTTATAATTAAAATAATATGTGAACATTTAAGAAAAAAAGCTAAGTCATACATTTCTCATCACTTTGCTTCTTTAGATTTATGAACGACTTTATGGAAAGGATAAGATTCCAATGAGTTTATCAATTAAAAATTGTCGACCTGATTTATTCTGGATTGAAACTAGTTCACCTGGATTAGTAGAAACAAAACAACGTTCTGTAAGAGGAGTATCTCCAACTTCAAGTTTTTTCTCATCAGAATCTTCTCAAATTTTATCGAAATCTTCATTTATTCGACAAAATAATAATCGATTTCTTAGATTATCTCGTCGTTCAGTACGTATGAAACCACATTTACTTCGAACTGGTGATCATTCTATATCACGTAATCAACAAACATACAGTAATATGTTACGTAATGGAATCGTAAAGAACATAACATTAATTAATGCAAGTAATTATTGGTCTGGTCCAATAGTATGGTTACTTCACAGAAAAATCAAATTTTCTGGTAAGGATATTCTTTAAATGCAATAAAGTTATTTCTACTAAAACAAGAGTCATGAGTCCTTGATAAGATTGTTTTGAAAAGATTCTTGACTGATCAGCTCAATTTGTTGCTCATGTGCATTTATGAAGAGTGTTATTCTTCATCAGTTATTCACTAGTATATCAGCCCTGTTCTTACTTTTGACACATTCTTGACCTTTTAAAATTGTGTCTAGGTAGTTTATGAAGGTGTGTTTGTTCATGAACATTAGTTCAAACATGCTGAAAAATGAATTTAAAAAAAAATCTACCAGATAGTCAGTGGAGCTGAACATCATGTATACTAGACTTTTAATTAATATACTTGTCTATATTGTATAAATATCTCAGTATCTTTTATTCCATACACAAGAACTTATACTGCAGATAAATTGTTTGTCCTGTTCAAAACAACATGTTCTTTGACATAATCAAAGATAGGTAGGTATCCCTTTCATATTACCACCAACTGTGTAAAAAAATTCACATGTATCTGTCAGAGCAGTTACATTGGTAGAACAAAAAGGAGAACCTACATCCGATTCAAAGAACATATTCCGAAGACTTTAAGATCTAATAGATTAAAAACATTCACCAGTGCCATCACAAGACATCTCCCTAATACAGGACATGTAGTCAATACACTGAAATCCTTCAAGTTGATTAACAAACAATCAAACTTCAACCTTTTGAAATTTCCCGAAGCGATTGCATTCAAATGTCGAGAACCAGATCTATGTATCGAAAAGGAGACAGTAATAAATCTTTCTTTGCCCTGATAATATTAAACCTTTCTATTTATTACGTCATTCATTAGTTCAACTCTTTCTCAAGTTTAAATTATATGATTATCATTGGTTTTTTCAATTCATAACTGACTGATTTCAATTTTGTATCTTTCTTTATTACCATTAATCTATTCCAAGCTAGTTCATTACATAATCATCTAATGTTTGTTAATTCCATGGATTCTAATCACTATTTGAATGTTCTGTAACTTTCCCTCTCAAACTTTATTTATTTATCTGAAACAAAAACCTTGTATGATTTTATTAACTCTGTCGAAATCTTTGCTACATCATGATGCACATGTATTCATCTATTAATCATCCTTGAATGTATAAGTATGTCTCTAGTGAACAGAACACGGTTGGGGACAACCGAACGTATTTCGCACAGAATTACAGAGTTACTCGGTAAAACAGAAAAACCATATAGTAAATTGTTAATTTGCACAATATCAATCCATCATATCAAAACGGACTGTTCCTGTTACAATCATCAATCCATTGTCTCACATTTCATTATTCATGCGTTTCCTTAAAAACTGCATTGTGTTCCCGCTCTTCCTTTTTTGATCTGCTCTCATCTTCTGTTGCCAGACATTCCGTTTTTAACTCGCGTCATATACTACTTACATCAATATAAATAGCACGCACCACATGTCAACATCTGTGATAACTTTGATTTTCAAATATTTTAGGTTGTAAGCAACTGATGTGAACTTAATGGAATAAAATGAATCCATTTAATACTCTGTTTCAATTTTGTTCTTCTTATCTTTTATTCCATGATGGAATATTAATTATTAATTTCATGGAAAAACTGTTACAATCAAATCAATTGATTTTTATCATGTTAATTCTAAGTAAACTATAAATGCCAAACAGTATTATCACATTTACAGAATAGATGGAATGCAATTAGCAATGAAATTCATGAGAGATTTTTCGTCTTATTTAAGACTCATCAGTTGAGTATACTCGTATCACGTATTGATGTTTGTTCTGTGATATGAACCTAGTACCTAATGCTTCAACGGTCAAACGGGTTATCCATTAATTTATTGAGTTTCAGATAGTCCTTAGCTTTTGCAGCGGGTATAGCGTTTTTATCATTATTAATAAGGTTGTAATTATCTTGCTATTCGTATTAGGAAGTGAATTTCGAAGGAATTAAAAGAAGGAATATATGTTTTTGTAATCGCGAAATATTTTAAAAATTAATAAAAGTTAACTTTTGATTTGTATTGTAGTCACATATGGTAACTTGTCAAACCAATAGTCATATATTCCATACGAATTCTTTATATAGATAGATTCAGTTAAGTCTCATACATAAGAACTCTTTTAAGCATTATAAGCAAAAATGGATAGTGGCTAGCAATAGAATCCAGTTCTGGCGATCGTTTCGTTCTACTTGGGACTCGTCAGCTGGATGTACCTGTATCTCAGAGTTATTATTCACTCTAAGACTTGAACTTAGTACCGTTTGCTTCTAACGCCATCGCGTTATTCACATACCTACTGAGCCCTGATAGTCACTTGCTTCTGCAATGGGGTGAAGTTTAAATTCACTTGCTATTGTTTACTTGAATCTTATAATGTTTGCGAATTAAGTCAACATCGAGGCAATACGCATAGTATGCACATATGCCAATAAGAGACTGATCCATTGCAGTCCTTAACACATCAATGGAAAGATTTAATTAAACAATACCAAATGAATTTAATTCTTTCAACGTTTCAAATTTATATTTCTTATGAATATCAATCTTCAGAAAACCTAAATTTTGTGCTACTTATCGATTGTCACACATATGTTCTATCATAAGTTATTCAACCCATTTATCAATCCTTTTTTCTCTCTCCTTTTAATTAGGTGATATATTAGAAGTTGGACTAACATCACCAAGTGGAAATCTTCTAGTTCCACATGTTCGTATTCGTGGTGAAATAATAACTCCTAAAAATAGTTTATCTATGAATGAATACTTAGAAAGTAACGATCATTATGAATTGAATTCAAAAACTATACAAGTAAATATAAAATAATTAGATATTTTTTTTATTTATTTAAAACTACTGATTTCATACAACTTCAGTCTCAATGGTTAAGATAATGAGTCAATTGAAGCCAGACCACCATGGAAAACCTAGAAGCATTGGATGGCCGTTTCGTCCTATTGTGAGACTCCTCAGCAGTGCGCATCTACGACCTCAATCATTGAATACAGTTATCATTTCAAAAGTACTACTTATATTCATCGATCAGGATATCTATTGTTCAACCTTTGATGACATATATATTCAATCTTTGGTCAATGTTTCAATAATAGCTTCAGATTTCAGGCTATTATCTATCTGAATTCATTAGTTAAATGAATAATACGTTTACTTTAGAAGTAATGAGCATTATATAATTTTGAGATAGTGGAGATTTGTAGCTCAGATAGATGATTTTGATGGAGTTTTGTTATTTGAAGTTTGTGCTGATGATGTCATTCAGAAGAAAGATGAAAGCTCCACGACCAAACCATTCAACTCAGAGAATAAAACTCCATTAAAAAGCACTATATGCTAGTTTGAGTATGAGCATATATACTGAGTTATAGATAAATCTAGTTAATAAGTTTCAAATAAGACAAAATGGGTATTTTATATTCCACTATTGGATACAATCAAAAAATATACTGTAAACTTGTTACTTAAACAGTGTAATATTATAACATTTGATATAATAAAGCACCATATGGTTTCTTGGCAAATACTTACTTATTTACGCCTGTTACTCCCAATGGAGCATAGGCCACCGACCAGCATCCTCCAACTCACTCTGTCCTGAGCCTTCTTTTCTAATTCCATCCAATTTTTGTTCATTCTTCTCATGTCTATCTCCATTTTTCGGCGTAATGTGTTCTTTGGTCTTCCTCTTTTCCTTTGACATTGAGGATTCCATGTGAGGGCTTGTCTTGTTACGCAGTTCGGTGCTTTCCTCAATGTGTGTCCTATCCATTTCCAGTGCTTCTTCTTAATTTCTTGCTCCACTGGAATCTGGTTTGTTCTCTCCCATAATAGGTTGTTACTGATAGTGTCTGGCCAACGGATCCGAAGTATTTTACGTAGACAACTGTTAATAAATACTTATATTTTCTGGATGATGGCTTTCTTAGTTCTCCAGGTTTCCGCCCCATACAGTAGAACCGTCTTGACATTTGTATTGAAAATTCTGACTTTGGTGTTGGTTGACAGTTGCTTTGAGTTCCAGGTTTTCTTCAGTTGTAAATATGCTACTCTTGCTTTACCAATCCGCGCTTTCACATCTGCATCAGACCCATCATGTTCGTCAATGATGCTGCGCATATATGTAAAGGTTTTGACATCTTCCAAATCTCCGTCAAGTGTGAATCGACTGGTGCATCCTATGTTGTATCGGAGTATCTTGTTTTTCTCTATGTGTATGTTGAGACCTACTGCTGTTGAGACTTTCTTGGCAAGTAACTCATGTACATTTAAGAGATAAGTGCTAACAATCATTTAAAACGGAATCGGAATTTATTGACATTTTTTAGCTTTCATATTTAATATTTAATCACAGAATATCATTATTATTATTATTATTGTATGTTGTTAATATGTTCCTGTTTTATTGATGTTTGCTGTTAATGACTTCAACATTGTTGGTGGGAATTACATTTAACTCGGTGTAGAATTTGCAGCACTACCTTTAAAGAAATCTATTTAAAATTATTAAACGGTTATAAATTCTTATATTATTATTAAACCAAGTTTAAACTTGGATTAATTTTAATTTGGTTATTTATTCTCTGAAGAAGTGACTTACACTAAGTCACGAAACGTCAGAAAATCTAATTTTCTACTCATTGGAATATTACAAATATATTATTTTTATTTATAACAATCAACCCAATGCTCAATTTATTCGAAATTATCAAATCAAACCTTGGTAATGATATCTTATATTAATTGATGATATAATCGATCTGTTTAGTACTAAGTGTAACTTGAATAGACTTGTTAGTGTAGCACAATCTATCGTTGTTCAAATCAATATCATAAGACTCTACTTCTGTATGACTTGGAGATTAATTTTATCAACCCAAATGGAAATCCAAGCACATCGATCTACTCATTCACATAAGAGACTTTATTACGAAAACAGTTATCCGTTTGAGTTAAAAGTCTTCTATATTAATTTAAAACACTTTGTTTATGAATTAAAGTCAACTGATGAATCCTTATAAAACCGTAGGCTAAATTATAGACACTGAAATGTTTTATTATATCTAAATAGTATGTTTGTTTTATATCTAACAGGAAAGTAATACCAATCAAGGCAATATACATGGTTCTATGGCATTTAAAGATGCTCCCGGATTTCAAAAACTGGATTATTATCATCCAATCTATTCATCATCATCAGCATTATCATCATCGTCTTCGGATAAAATCTCTAATTCACAAAACCCTCAGCTATCTAATACTGTTTCTATAAATTCTGATGATATTAACGTAGACGATAGATTGTCTATTTTATCTGATGTTGGTGGTGGAAATACTAATCATGTAGAAAATAAAGAATTAATAAAAGACAGTAAAAATAAACCATCCATTAATCCCAGGAGTGGTAGTCGTAACAGTAACAGTGGTTACAATGGTATTAATGGAAATAATGACAGGGCTAACGATGCAAAAACTAGTTCAAGACCTGCATTAGAAATGAGTATGTATATTTTACTTGGTCTATTTGCTGTAGTTGGACTTGTATTTGCTGTTAATTGTGGCGTTGTTGTTGTACGTTATCGTTGGGAGAAGATGAATATGGATAATACTGACGGTATTGACACTGCTACTCGTAATGGTAGCTGTAGTATTGCTAGTGGTTGTGTTCGAGGAAAATATAATAAATCACTTAATGATGATAACAATCACTCTCAATCTTTAACATTTACTGACCCAGTATCCAATAATAATGAGGTGACAGATCATAATCAATTAATATCGGCTATTTCTACTTCACCAAAGTATAATTGGAAAAATCATCCAAAAAGTGATGCTGATAATCATGACAAACTATTGCCAACTAATATTAATAGTCATAACAAAATAAAGAACGGAAACGCACTAAACGATCTGCTTCATCAGTGTTTGGTAGTCGTCAAAAACACAAGGTGAGCTATAGTCAGAGTTGAACAGTTTTGACCTCATATTTCAAGCGTTATCAATTACTTTTTTATCAGTGGCCGATGATGTTGTCCAAGTCGTTTAGACATTGAGCAAAAATCATATCCAATTAGATTTCGTGAGGTTCAGTTACGAAATGATTGATACGATAGGCTTATTTTTAATTTGGTGTGTTTTATCACCGATACCAAATCCAAGCTGACTATAGTTTCAAATATAAACCACTGAATACTATCTTATATAATGGTTCTAAAGGTAATAAGCTTCTCTCTTTATCAGACCTGTACGTTATCACTGATTAGGTGAATGACCACTGAACACGATCTGATCTCATATAATAACAATGTGAACTATTCTGTGTCCGAGTGTAATTTAACTACAAGACTGCAACAAAACTCTATTCTATTGACATTATTTTGATAGATATTTAAAAGCTTAGAAATGCTTCTGAACTATATTGATGTATTTATGACAAATGATTTTCTATTTGAATCGAATTAGATTTTCGTCATTGAAAATCAAAAAGCATTGAACAATTGTTTCATCTTAGTATATTCACAGTTGGATTCACGAGTCTGTCTAAGCTAGACCATATTTGAAAATCTCGATGCAGTGGATGACTGTTTCGTCCTAGTATTGAACTCTTCAGCAGTGTATAGCCACGATTCCACAGACGGAACTCCAACCCAGGATCTTAGATCTCGCACGCGAACACTTGAGCTCATGACTACTGAGCTGGCATTCAACAATGTTAATATCCCACTTCAATCGATCCAATATCTTGCGCAACCTTTCACCCATTGTCTGAGATGTATAAATGTCTCTCACTCGACGCAGATTGGACTCCACCGGTCACGTCTTCTCACTAGAACTCTAAAAAATCAATCTTGAAGCTAGCCACTAGTGAACAAGTGGTTATTATTATATTGGGGATTTGTGGAGATTGTTGAATTTTATTAAAATCCTAATTAGATTTAAAGTTAAACCTATGAAAATCTGGACGGCCATCTAGTGCGTCCAGATTTTCAATGACGGTCTAGCTTTGATCAACTCGTAAATTCAACTGTGAAAGTACTTTAATTTCCACAAATCCTCATACTGATCATCTTAGTGTAATCATTTTCAGTAGTTTCAGTGAGGCATCATAGTCAGTGCGATTCATTCATATCGGTTGTAAGGTAGTTGGACATTCGCAATGTTAATTGATCCCAAGATATTTAGCGGCTGCCTAAAAATAACAATTATACCATAAAATCTGATGTTCGGATAAATGTCAAGTGATATGAGAAGTATGTACTGTTCGAAAATATCATACTAATCTGAAATCTATACCCGATAGTAACAATTGATTGATCACTGAATAAAAACCAATGTCATTCTTATCTAGTCCTTTTAAGTGTTAATCGAATTTCATCGATCAGTTTTCAATGTGGTCATTGGTCTACGTAACTTGATATCGTGTTCAAAATTTTAAGATGCTAGGTGGTTGAAGGCTGTTAAGAGTAGTCCTGGACCTAAGCTTCATGCTTGTTTGTATCCAACAGCAAAGTGTACTAGTAATTTTGGGGAAACCAATGGTTCCTGGTGGATTCCAGCCAGAGGTACATGAACTCACAGACTGCGATGCTACTCTTAGACCTTTAGAGCCTCAACCGAATAGCTCAGTGGTAACATCGCGGACTTTAAAACTGCGTAACACGAGTTTCTCAAGATTACAGGTATATCGTTAATAAATTCAATCGTGTAGTGAGAATATTTCCTTTGCCTAAATGTCTTAGATTTTTCCATAACTCATTTCTATTATTTTGATTATTTACAGCCATTGTTACATCGTGATTCAAGTTGGGTATGGGTTGGTCGTCAACATGTTATTAGTGAACAAAATGAAACTGATAAATTAGACGAAAACTCAAATCCTCATCACCATAGTCAGCTCATTGGTTATAATTCGGAATTAACTAATTTTAACATAACAGCACCAACTTCTACTACTGCTAATATTATTAATAATGGTAGTAGCATTGGTGTACCAAAAATAGATGCCAGTTTATCTCATTCACATAAACGTCCAGTGCAATTTAATGGATGAAGAAAAATTCTACAACTGCTGTATTATCAGTTGGTGAAGCTGACTTGTTATTATTACAGTCACCATATCGTGAAAGTGTATGGCAAGATACTTTACGTTCAGACACTATAGAATCAGATTCACGTTTCTTATATGTAACAAGTGATAATCTTACACAACAATTTGGATATACAGAAGAAATACAACCTAATTCATTTTTGTATAACCGATTGTCTATACCTGCCAGTAATGCACCTAAGAATGAGTGTCAAACACTTGGTCGTCACTTGAAACGTCATACAACAGCATTTACGCAGCGCAATTATCAGGTATCATGGGTCTTTTGTGATGATTTTTACTAGTTTTTTTCATCATTTTCATCGTAATTATAGAAATTCCTACGTAACTCAGTGATTTTATTGTTATCTATTGAATAGTAATGAGGTATAGTCAAAGGCAACTTTAACTAATATCAAGATACCGTTTATATGATGTTCTGTTTGTAGGCGACCTAAGGATATCTTTATTTAGAAAACTCGAATGTAAAATTTGTTTGGTACAAGCCAACAGAAAGTCAGACTGGTGGTATAAAGACTTATTTTAGATCTTGCCAGAATTCTTTTTTGTGATTTGAGTGTCTTAGTATATGTATATGCATACTAGTATTCTTTCATAGTTAACCTTATAAAGTCAAATATTGAATACCATATAATTTGATGCGATTCTCCCCCTCCCCCGAAATGCAAAATGTTACTTCAGGATTGGGTTGCATCAGCACCTGAATTAATGATAGGGAGTGAAGTATTTGAGCGTATCGACCGCTTCACTTAGCTCGGGAGTCTCATCAGCCCTTGTGGTCTGGTGTGTGACGAAATCTTAGCACGGATACAGAAGGCTTGGCTAGCTCCTTCCAACTTACGTCATTTATGATGTAAGTAGGATATTCATCTATCAACCAAAGGACGGGCTGACTGCGCATAATTTGCTTCGTCTTACTTTATGACATTGAAACATGGCCGATAAGAGTAGAGGATATTCGTAGGTTACTAGTATTTGATCATAGGTGTCTTCGAAAAATTTCTCATATGTCCTGGAACCACCAAGTAAGTAATGTAGGTGTTAGAAAAAGGGCAATGGGTAAAGATGGCAAATAAATTGAGGAAGCAGTGAAACTTCATCAGTTGAGATGGCTGGGACACGTGTTACGTATGCCCAACCACCGACTGCCCCGACGTGTGATGTTTTCTGGTGTAGGAGTAGGTTGGAAGAAAGCTAGAGGCGGCCAGAACAAAAAGTGGCACAAATCCATCAAGTCACTGACAGGTGGACTGAGCCATCTTGGTAGGTGTAGACTACCTGGTTGGGATCCGCGAGATGATAGCAATCGATGATTAGAGACCCTGGATGAAATGGCTCAAAATCGTTTGCAATGGCTCAGTTGCATCCACTCTTTGTGTTCTCCCAAATTCTAATCTTCTGGATTCTTCATATCCACTTTTTTCCTCTTTCCAAATTTATTTCATGGGATTATACTCCTTAAGTAATATCTTCAAACCCTAATATTTTCGATTACTGCTTATACTCTTACCACCGCTACCACTATGGGATTTGAATCTACAATTGCATCTCTGTGCTAATGTGGTATGGAAACTCGAACTTATGTACATACGTACGAAGTTTTACTTTGTTGACTGACTGACTGATTGATATAATTCGATATTAGCTGACAGTAAAGTTTGGAACCGTATGTTAATTTTATCAGGGTTTCATTAATGTTTATGTTGTTGTTTCCAAAGCGACTTCGACTCTTTGTTATGCATTAAGTAACTGAATAGTAAATTGTTCGACCATTGGTCAGTTTTACATACTGACAGATAATGAACAACCTATTTTTAAATAAGTTTAACAAGAATGATCAAGTTGAAACATTGGTGGTAAAAAGAAACATTTTTTATCTGTCAGTATAAGGTTGTAGATCAAGAGCCAATCTAAGTTAAACAACTACTGAAAACATGGAAACAGTGGATGGTTGTTTTTTACTAGTAGGAAGACACCTACTGAAGATAATCATAAGTAGTCGCGTAATATTATAAAGTGGTTGAAGTTAAACTTCTAAACGATTGAAAATAGACTCAATGATTGAGAGTTTAAACGTCCACATAACAGACAGAAGGTTCTGGGCTCGAGTCCCGGTTGCGGGAATGTGAATTCATACTGCTGTGGAGCCCTATACTAAGATAAAATGGTCATTCAATGCTTCTAAATTTTCAGTGGTTTCCTAACTTTGATAGGTTTAAAATCTTTATAAGATTTGTTTATCTAATTTTTATATTAGGGTCAAGAATGTAGTATCAGAATAATTAGTAATCCAATGTCAAGTAAGAAGCAACATCATCATGTGCAACAAGAACTAACTCAACAATTCCTTAATCCACAACTTTTCCTATCAGATTATTCTCCAGAAAATATGAAATATATCAATCAACAAAATAATAATAATAATAATGCATTAACAAATTCTGTAATAGTTAGTGAATCCTGGTTAAACAACTCAAACCAATTGATGATGTTAAATGGAAGTGCTAGTGCGTCATTACATCGTAAACAAATATCACCAGTTTATTTACATGATGAACGTACTACCACAGTATTATGTAGTGATCTGTTAAATCACAATGATATTACACTATCAACTATGAATAAATCGAAAAACATTACAACTATAAAAAATTCACCTGTGATCTCATCACCAACTAATCGACATCAATCTACTTGTCAAATGTTATCACCTCTACCTATGTGTCTATCACAGATTTGTAATGATGAATCAAGTTTGACTACATCTTCCCAACATCAACATTATCAGAGTAATGTTAATCAAGATTGGATGATTTCAGGTTACCGTAGACAACCTTTATTAAATACAGATGATATACATCATAAAGATTTTTTAGAACATAATAATAGTAATAATCAATCTACATTAGACAGACAAGATTGTACAACAATAGAAATGTTAAATGTTTCTTCACCTATATGTCCATTGAACTCTCCATGGCAAATAAGAAAAACATTAGAGAAATCTTTGAAACAGAATCAATCCAATTGTTGTTCAACTAATCAACAATGTGAATTACACAGTCCATTAATAGATCATACCAATATCCATGAAAATCATTTACAACTTAATGAAGTATTAGAATTAAATGAAACTAGTTCATTTACTCAAAGTCCACCAAATCCTCCAATAAGAACTACAAGTCGTGGAGCTATTACTTATCATACACTTGGTCATTTAACAAGACATAATAATAATAATAATATAAATAATCAACATCCACGTCCACTTAGTTTGCCTCAAGTAAGTTTATATTGTAATAAAAATCAATTCATGTTCATATCAAATTAATAATGAAGTATGGAAGTTTATTGAAACTTTTGAATACTATTTTTTTTTCAAACCTGCATCTATCGTCATGGATTTTGTTGTTTTAAAATTTCCTGTATCTAACTCATTGATTCCGTCTATCATGTGTACTTAGGCGCTTTTAGAAGACAGTTCAGGAGATCTAATGATTGAGAAGTACTTGAGAAGTACTAACCTAAATGGTTTGTATATATATTTTTTCTTCTTATATTCTTTAAAGAAGTGAAAGACAAATTTATGGTTCAAATATATTCGATATTGTTTAATGATGTCAAGATTATACCAAGAATGATTGTAAACGTTTACGGATGAAAGATAATCTTATTTTGAATAATCACAAGTTATATCTTCGAAGAACAAGACATTGGATACAATTTTGCATAGTATTTGTTGAAGGTTCATCACTATAATCAACCAAGTGGTAGTACCAATTGTTGTTTATATTCATCTGAAGTGTGGACCGGTAACTTTATATGATATGAGATCCCAAAACCTTCAGTCTCTTGATTAGTGTATGATATGATTCAACTACTGAGTTTCAATGTAAAGTACTTAAAGTCTTAAATTCAACCAATAAACTAGATAGAATAACCATCATTTACAGTCATCAGTCAGTAAACATTTGACGAAAACACTTTTATCGTTTCTGAAGATAGCATTCTAGATGAAAGACAAGTTGCTGTAGTCACACAATAACTGATTGATGATGAATTATGTGAATTGTGTCCAGTAGTGATCTATCATATTTAATAATATTATCTAATACAAAAAAAAAACAAATATTGACAGACTTTATGTTTTATTTACAGTTAGATTCATCATGAGCAAGGTTTTAATCAATCGTACACTGAATCAATTTAGTTTTGATCTTTTCTTTTTTACTTAAAGATCAAACGAAACGTAACTTATATATTTGTACTTACTATATTTTAGAGGCTAATTTCATGACTGATCTTCACCTTTTTACTTTGTTATTATAATCTTACAGAAGAATCGTTACACGAAACCATAAATTATTAAAACTTAGAAATGTATAGCATTGTGTACCAACATAATAGTTTAAGAGTTAAGCGTTCATCTAATAACATTTAAGTCTTTAGTTCAATACTTAGCGCTTTCAGTCAGTCAGTCAGGAATAATACGAATTGAAGAGGGAGGTTGATTATGAATACAGTAGTCTTGAGTTCTGTTGGAGGTATGAGAACGGTTATCACTTCCCGGTTGCCCATACCGTGGAAGGGTTCTTCTGGAGGTACCTGAAAAGGAAATTCGATTACAGGTGGTCTTAGTGACCTGAGAGTGTGACCGCAGTGCCCAAGGGACAACTGCTTGAGGTCGATCACACACGACCGTTTTATGAATACTTTTTGTGTTAGCTCTGTACTTGTTGAGACCTTACAGCCGGAGACGGATATCCATGGAATAAGGCGAGGTGTTCATTTTTAGGGTCGACCTTTTCTAACCCCACCTTTCCTTGTGGGAAGGTAGCATCGCTGTCATGCTGGTTGTCTGAAGGAAACACCTTACTGCTGTCACACTCTGTACAGCCAGCAGTACGACTTCGCCTTCGGACCTTGAGTTTGTTGATTTTAGTCTTACCGCTCTTCAACCGACCTGTCTAACATAATAGGACCTTGAGGAACGGTTGTTCCAGCTAGTATAGCTCGGTTGCTCCATCACAATAGGCAAGCTCGACCACCGAGTCAAGGTAGCAACAACAGTCGGGACTTAGCGCTGTTGCTGCTACGAAACGCTTCTACATAACATTATAGATTTCCATAGTACCTTAAATGATGGCCATCTACCGCGAATAACACATTCAAATTACAGTAATCTCTATAAGACTCATTCACGAATACTTTACATAATTTTCCTTCAGTCATTGTTATTCATTTTGACATTTCAGAGTTTCCATGTAACAAATGAATTGTATTCAGCCTTATGTCAAACTGATTCTTCTAAAGAATGTGTAAAACTTTTAACTGAAAATATTTATAAAAAACACAAAACTAAACAAAATAACATTGATACTATTAATAACAGTGATAAAAACACATCAGAAATTTGTCAAGATTGTCTTTTCTCTTCATCTTATGATATTTTATCAAAGTATATAAATAAACAACAAAGTCCAAGTGAAGAAAGTTTATGGTGGTATCATCCGGTACATCAGAAACGACGACGTAAACGTAAGCATCAATCTAAAAATCATATTGAAGATAATAAATCTACCCACCATCATCATCATCATCATCAGCAGCAGCAGCATCATCATCATTTTCAACACCATCATCATTATCATCATCAAAATCATTGTGATCAATCAATTACAAAACATCATCAACAATTAGATAATTATATAAGTAATATATCAGAACAATCAAGAGATTTGTCAATCCCCATGATCACGAAATATGATACTACTGAATTAAACAATAATGGACTAACAAATTCTGCATTGTATTCAGATAAAGGAATTGATTCACAACAAAATTTATGTAAGTTCTGTTAACTTTGTAAGCATAATCATTATTTAGTGTTGTGTATAATATAAGTTAATACGAATTTTTAATATCCATATGAAAATTAATATTGGTAAGCCAGTAAAAATTATGAGGAAATGAACACCTACTTTGTGTATATTTAGCAAACTACTAAAAATGAAGGATCAAAATCTGTTGATCAGTAAGTGATAATCGATTTCATGTTCATTTTCTACTTAGTGCTGGCTAAATATAATTGCTCAAGTTCAATACCAAGTCAATTCCACCAAGAATAACAGATTAGCAACTATGAGGCTGGTTGGAGAGAGCTCAAGTTTTTCAGATAAGCTCACCTCCTTCAAGATTGTAGGTATACTCTGATAGTGAGTGTTAGAAAACTTGAAATTTAGGTCTAGGATTTCCTATTAACTATCTCTTCAAATTATACATAGGATAGTAGATTTTGAACCAAGAAGCTTTTCTTCTTCAGATCATATCATAACCTCTAGAATACTGAATTTTTTTATCATCTTCTCACTAGTGACTGAATTCAGGAGATACTCCTAGAGTTCTAGTGAGAAGCTGTTACCAGTGGAGTTCAACCAGGTCTGTTGTGAGATAGGAACTCACTGAAGACAATGGTGTACGGTGGCACAACTTCGTGGAGTGGTTGAAGTTAGACATTAACACTGTTGGATGCCAGCTCAGTGGTCTAGTTGATTAAGCACCGGGCACGAGACTGGCAGGTCCTGGGTTCGAATCCCACGGGGGGCGGGGTCGTGTATGCGCACTGCTGAGAAGTCCTAAAATAGAGCGAAACGACCGTCCAGTGCTTCCAGGTTTTCCATGTTGGTCTAGCTTCAATTGGTTCATGATTTTAACCAGTGAAATTTGACTCTTAATCAGTAATTAATAATCACGAACTAATGAACTCCTACTTCATATCAGATCAATTTAGTTTATCCTGTGATAGAATGATTTGATCATTAAATAGACAAGGATAATAAAAATGAGTTCAACTTTAATCGTCTTTTTTTTGTTTGTTTGATATTTTATCTAATATTTAAACAAGTAAACTTTTAAGCATATAAATGAACCTCATTATTCAATTTTTAATGAATTCAATAGTAACTTAAATCACTTTGAAATGAATTCATATAAGTTGATTTCTATTATTGAATAATATGTAATTTATTCTTATAAATCTTTAGGATAAAATTTAATACATTTTATACGGAAACAATAAATCTTTGTATTATTGCTAATTACATTCAATATCATTCAATGATTAATCAATGTAAATATCTTACCTATAAAGAAGTTTAACTGTTACTTGAATAACTTGAAAGTATCCCCATATTATAGTGTAATACTAGAATGATCTAATTTTGAATTCATTAGCATATATCAGCTTCATCAACATTGTAACTACATTTTATTGATTGGTACATATATTCCTGTAAACTAACTACTTTCAATTATCTAACATATCATATCACTTATATTGTTAGTATTAATTCTTTCAAATTATTCATTGTATCCTTCTGTGTAGTGAATATATATAAGAAAAATTCATCTTTTAAATAAATGTTCTATCGAAATAGCACAGTGCAAAATGAGTCGTCATACATTCTTTCTATCTCTGTTAAAACACTAAAATATAACAATATATTATGTAACAATGTTTACCAATACCATTAAGCGTTTAACTTTTGGCGTATATTTCATACATTTAGTTCCTTTATCAACTAGAATACAATAAGAATAAGAAATTATCACTTTAGGGGTTGTGGAGATTGTTAAGCATTTTTTTTATTAAGATCATAAACCGATTATTATTAGACCACCATTGAAAACCTGGAAGCACTCCATGGTCGTCTCGTCCTATCGCGGGACTCTTCAGCAGTGAGCATCCACGATCCCGCCCGCGGGATTCAAACCTAGGGCCTTCAGTCTCGTGCGAATGCTTAGTGAGAAAATCCTCGGAGTTCTGGTGAGAAGTGGTGACCAGTGGAGCTAATCCGTGTCGGGTAGAAACAGGTTTCTACCTCAGTACAATGGAAGGTGGTCGCGCAATTTCGTGGATTGGTTGAGGTTAGACACTAACACCTTTGGATGCTGACCAGCTCAGTGGTCTACAGGTTAAGCGTTCGTGCACGGGACTGAAGACCCTGGGTTCGAGTCCCGCGGGCGGGATCGTGGATGCTCACTGCTGAAGAGTCCCGCGATAGGACGAGACGACCATGGAGTGCTTCCAGGTTTTCAATGGTGATCTAACATCAATCGGTTCATGATCTGAATTAAAAAAGGAATAAGAAAGTTTTCACAATAAAATGGATTTATCGGTTCATTTCAATAATTTTGATCACATGAATAGATTAGATTTTCAACATGATATTCCACGTCAGTCAAGACTATTACCATACTTTGTATCATATTTTATACCTTGTTGTTTCTCAAACATTTTCTACCTTATTCTAAAGATTCACTTCAACTTTATTCATTGAAGTATGTCATTTCTAGCCATACAAACTGGAATAATGGAGGCCACTATTATTAATTTGTATATTAGAAATAAGAGATTACATAATCTGGTGATATAATTATGATCGATATTCACTAAATGAAATAATGTCAACAGATAAATAAATATAAGTGAGATTATGTTGGAGTGGACATAAAATCCAAGATCATCAGTATAATGTTTAGTTAATATGACATTCTTCTGGCTTTTAAACTAGCTTGATATTTGATCATCGTAACATACAATAATTGTTTGTACTGATCTAAGGTACAAAAAACAATTTTCCCTATTATATCTGCCAATTTATCCTAATTATGACAAATGGTGATGGGGTTAAATTACAAATTCCAGTTTACGTGATATCTAGTTTCAGTCTGTTGGGGACGTTAGATCCCCAGAACTCACTTGGGAAAGGACCTAATTTTGTAATTTATTTAGAAAATTTGAATTTCTTTGTTTTCACACCAAAGGCGCTCTTTTTACCTTCATGTCGTATTTCCCACTGGGAAATATTTTAAATGCTATTGGTCCGTTGTGTCTTTTAGTATGCTATTTGGTGACTCTCCCTAAGGACGGTTTTGCACTGTATATATATGTTTTCAATTGTGTTTGGTGTTATCGCTCGTTTCTGGCTGATTTGCAGAATATACTTTCCATTCCAAGCTTGGACTTCTCGTTTTAGTTAGCGGGGCTGGGACGCATCAATAGCTAGCTTACTGGTCCTTGATCACCGAATCTTGTTCTCCTCCGCCGATTAAGTGAACTCGCGATAGCTTCAAGCCTAACAAGTCTATCCAGTCTCTGAATCCTTGATTCTTCGTTCTGTTCCGAGTAAGACGAATCAGTAGTAGCATCCAAGTTAATGAACATAACACAGTCATGATAAATTTCGTTTTCAAGCCTAATTTTCTTTATCTATAGCAGGTTGAAAACAGTTATTATAGTAACATTCAGTGTAAAGAACTTTTTTACACAAAATTACGAGTCGTGTCTTTAGTCTACAAAATAGATAACATTTATGATCAATAAAGGTTAAAATTAGAAGCAGACAGATATGTTTCATAACTATAAAGCACTACTGAGTGAACTGCTGCCCAGTATATACGCTTTTTGGTTGGAGGACGGACATTTCACTCAGTTCACAAGTATTTGTTAACAAATACTAATAGAGTTTTTCGAGTCCATGTAGAAATTTTGTCAGACATCAACCTAATAAGACTGATGTGACTTTTAAAACAAGTCTCAGTTAATCTAGAGCCAATGACAGCGCTAACAAATAAATCTGGAATATCTTTAAATATAATGATCTGGTTTTAATGGCTAAGCTGATTGAAACATAAGCTAACATTTTTCAAGCTAGATATAATCCCATCTGATTATTCTCGATTGCTAGTCGTCGCATTCTATAAAAAAAAGTATTAAAAATCCTTTTGAAATAACCACAAACTATTCAGTTTGACTAACAGTGTTTAGAATATCAACTTCTGTTAACTAGGACTCATTAAGAACGAACTCAAACAGATCAGGCTAATTTCACACTTGAACATCAATATACTTACTACATATTCACTTTATCATGTTTTAGAATACGTGCATAATTATCGATACAGAATTGTATTTGTATTTGTTTAGTATACCATTCCATTAACCAAAAAAAGTTTTGTGTAAAAGTCTTTTAATGAAAGATAATCTAAAGAAGAAGAAGACGAAGACGAAGAAAGGTCTATCATTATAACTTTACATATAAACACTGTTAATTAGCCTACTTCTAAAACAATACAAAAAAAGATAGATAAATATATAAGTTGTAATTAACTGAAGAAAAAAACCTAAACAAACAAATAATTGTCCAACTTTCACTAGATACCTTTTATTCCTTCTCTTTTTTTTCTGTTTATATCTCAACACCTACATAGCAACAACAACAATGAAAAGGATCAGCATTAGCCCACATGTTTTGCGTTTTTTTTTCTTTTTAATTTTCTTCCCTATAAAGTATCGTTTTTTTTTAAGTTTACTATATTATATGAACAAAACATAATATTAGAAGTGACATAATTAAGGAAAAAAAACATTTTTTAAAAGTAGTTCATCATAGTTACAACTACCTATAATTATATATATCAGAACGGGTTTTGTAGATATTGTAGTAATTTCATTAGTTGAGATTATGAGTCAATTGAAGCTAGATCATCATGAAAAACTTGGAAGTACTAAACGACTGTTTCATCCTAATATGGAACTGTGGATACACACTGCTGAGGAGTTCAACAATAGGACGAAACGGATGACCAGCGATTCCTGGTTTTCCATGGTAGTCTAGCTTCCATTGACTCATGATGTTAACTATTAAAATCAGTATAATATCCACAAAACCCCTTCTGATATTATTCAATATACGCTCGCTAGTGACTGACTTCAAGAGGTTTTTCCAGGAGTTTTAGTGAGAAGCAGTGACCAGTGGTGTTTAACCGGGTCTGTTGTGAGATAGTAGCTCACTGAAGACAATGGTGGATATGTCAATCAATTTCTTGGATTAATTGAAGTTAGAAATTAAAATCGTTGGATGCCGGCCGGTTCAGTGGTCTAAAGGTTAAGCATTCGCTCACGAGACTGGTAGATACTGGATTTTGATCTCTCGAGATGGGATCATGGATGCGCACTACTGAAGAGTCTCAAGATAGGACGAAATGGCAGTTCAGTGCTTCCACGTTTTCCATGGTAATCTAGCTTCAATTGACTCATGATTGCAACTATATCAAAATTACTATGGTATTCACAAAAACCCTCTTTCGATTTTGAACAATTTAACTAGATATTTTTTTCATTTTTCAAGTTTATTTACTTCTTTTTTATTTCATTTGAAGATCACTTTATCACGGACAAAGTGAAGATGAGAAATTATTGATAATTAAAAAATCCTTTAAAAACGTTGTTGATTCAACCTACTTATTATTATACCATAGGTATAAAGCTATTTGTCTTTTTGTTAATCTTGTTACTTTTAAGCTATTGAGTTTTCTTACATAATCTCAGATACATTCTTAAGGAGTATTATATTTGGGTTGAATGGCTATTGAATCACCTTGGGTATTCAGTGATTCATATCAGAAGGGGTTTTGTGGATATTATGATGATTTTAATAGTTAACATCATGATTCAGTTGAAGCTAGACTACTATGGAAAACTTGGAATCACTGGATGGCCATTTCGTCCTATGGTGGGACTCCTCAACAGTGAGCATCCATGATCCCGTCTCGAGAGATCTAAATCCAGTACCTAACAGTCTCGTGAGCGAATGCCTAACCTATAGACCACTGAGCCGGCCGGCATCCAACGATGGTAATTTCTAACTTCAATTAATCCATGAACTTGAGCGACACATCCATCAGCAATTATAGATTTGCAATTAATACATTATTTATTTATTTATTCTTCCATGTTATGATATTAGCAGTAAATATAACATTTATGTTACATACCTGTGTATATGGTATATAATCCGGTGTTCATCTTGATGTATTAATGCGGTATGGCAACTTGGACCGATGCATATATGTTCCTGGTCGTACGTTGTATCTAACTGACTAAATGATATGGTATATAATAGTTGAATCTATAATTATCTATCAATTTGTTAATGAATAAGTTACATAATATAATAAATGATTTGAAACTATAGTGATAAATATGTAATTCTAAACATCATTATCATTAAAACCATTGAAAAGTATCTGTTATCCCATCAATATGCAATCAGTTACCAACATTATATTTACATAGACAAAGTTTCATTATCAATATTTTATTTTAAACGCTAATAACTATTGTAATTATATTGTATCATTTAATCAAACTAAGAAAGAATAGTAAGTTTCTATTCAAAGAAAATAATGATAAAATTATACGAAATATACAAAATGAACAGATTGACTTGAATGATTTAAGGGTGCAATGTATAAAGGATACTACTGAATTGTACATTACTTACTTATTTATGTCTGTTGCCTCTCAAGGAGGAGCATATGTCACTGACCAACATTCTCCATATAACTGTGTCTTAGACAATTCTTTCCAGTTCTTTTCAGTTGCTATTCATCATTTTCATACCTGTTTACAATTGTCGACGCAATGTTTTTTTTTGTCCTCTCCCCCTCCTTTTCGTTTCCTTTCAGAATCCCTAGTTAGAGTCTGCCTTGTGATAGAGTTTGGTTATTTCCGTAATGTATTTCCCATCCATTTCCATCGTCTTTCTTGAAATTTACTATTCTTTTGGACGCTGGTTTGTTCTCTCTCACATTAGGCTGTTGCTGATAGTGTCCAACCAACAGACATTGAGTATCTTGCGTAGACAACTATTTATAAATAATGGTACCTTTTTGATGATGGTTGTCGTACTTCTCCATGTTTCATCTTCATACAATAGTTCAATTGTACATAATGTAGGCTTAATGAAGACAATATACTTTATAAGTAATTATAATCACAATAATGTCAAAATTCAGAAAAAAAAATCTCTATTTTACGTTTTACGTATTACTGACCAACAAATATTTATTATGTAATCAATGCTTTTAGTACTTCATTGTACCTACTTTAATTTAGGCAGTTGAACGGTAATGTCATAATCTCTTGTAACAAACAATAGGATTCAAGTATCAGTGTGTATCCATCTATATTCGATACATGACTCAAATTATTTAGAAATAAACTGTACAGTAATCATCACAATTGATTGATCACTGGGTGGTGGGTGACCAATGTCATGTATGTCAAGTCCTTCCTAGTGCAGATCGAATGCTATCGACCGAGTTGCAATGTGGCCACCAGTCTAAGTGGCTCAACACTGTGTGCGCTATGTTGAGATTAGATTGTGGTTGGAGGTAGTCAACAGGAAACCATGAACCTGGGTTTCGTGCTACTTGGCACTCGTCAGCAAGGTGTACTTGTAATGTTAAGGGAATTGATGCTCCCTGACGGATTCGACTCCATGTCACCCAGCTTCACAGTCAGAGACGTCACCACTAAGCTATCCAGTCCACAACTAGCCTCCTGTAGGACTGAGACATACTTACAATTGATTGATCACTGGGTGGTAGTCAATGTCATGTATGTCAGATCCTTCTTAGTGTAGATCAAATCATCTAGACTGATGATTAGATTGCAACTTGATCGACAGGATTCGATCTGCATTAAGAAGGACCTAACATAAATGATATTGACCACCATCCAGTGATCAATCAATTGTGATTACATCTCAGTCCTACAGAAGGCCAGTTGTGGATTGGATAGCTCAGTGGTGATGTCTCTAACTGTGAAGCTGGGTGATACGGAATCGAATCCGTCGGGAAGCACCAGTTCCCTCAAGATTACAAGTACACTTTGCTGACGAGTGACAAGTAGCACGAAACCCAGGTTCATGGTTTCCTGTTGACTACCTCCAACCACCATCTAATCTATATAGTGATTATAGATATTTCATTTTTAGACAAGCTAATTAGATTCACACTATTTTCATCAGCTACAATTACAAATTACTCAAATGTTTTATTATAATTAACTACAGTATAATAAATATTCATTATTAGGTAAGTATAAAATTGAATCAAATTTCTTCTGTTTATCTTATATTTTACATGCAATAACAAAGTACATTCGTTTGTTTTATTTGATTATCATGTTCAGTAATACCTTGATCAATCAATCTATTTGGAAAAAAAAAAAATAAACTTATATTTATCTTTCTTTTCTTTCCTTTTTTTTTGTATTCTCATTACACTATCGACCAAAATCTTGGCATTACTTCAATACCTCATTTACTATCATTTGTACAAATATGATTGATTAATTGTTGTTTGTTTATTCAATATCTCTAATACACTATACAAAGAACTATTGTGAAACTTCAATGTTAATATGATGAACCACTAAAAAACCAAGAATTGTTGAACAAGTGTTTTGTCTTAGTATAGAACTTTCTAATGTCTCACATTTAAGAACTTATCACCACAGATTATTCTTGGATTTTCAGTTTTACAAGTCATTGCTTAACCTTTATCCGACATAGGTATCATTACCATGGTTTAACTTAATAATTTCGAATAAATTGAGCATTGGATAGATTGTTATAAATAAATTAATATATTTGTAGATATTCTAATCAGTAGAGAAATTAGATTTTCCGACGTTTCGTGACTCAATGTAAGTCACTTCTTTAGTGATTTACACTGAATCATTTTACTCAACCGATGTTCCACATTTTCTGAATTTAATCAATTATAAGACTATTCATTCAATTTTAGACAAGAGTTTTTATAAAACCTGTTTAGTTTACTGTTATAACGCTCGGGTTTTACTTCGTCTAATGTTTTAACAGTTGGGTTTCTACGTTTACACGTATAGGACGTTAATTTACCTTAGATGAATATCTACACTAGATTCCCTCTCAGTGTCTATTCAACAAGACTTCAACACAACTCAGATCAAGAACACGTGATTAGCTTGATTAGAATGTAATTATATTTCTACACCAAAAACTCGACACAATCCGGCAACAATGAACAATCAATAACAATGTAGCAATACGGATAGGGGAATATATAACTCATCTACATGTTTGACTAAGCAAACAACCATTCTCGCCCATACATCATTTACTTTATAACATTAAATTTTTTTACGTTTTATTTAGGTGAATCTATAGAGCATAATGATTTAAAACCAAATACCGTTGTAATAAATGATCATGAAAAATCATCATCGGCATCTTCTTCAACATCATCAACAGCAATAATACCATTACAACAACAACAACAACAATACCATACCATAAAATCTCATCATAAAAATATGAATAAATATCAATTCATGAATTCACAATCAGATTTAAGTTGGGAACAAGAATTATTATGTTTATCTCATGATCGTTTAGTTGCTTATTTTGCTGAAATGAAAGAATCTAATGCTTAACAATTACAATTCTTCTATCCTTTTATCAATAACAAGAAAAAAGCATAATGACTTGTGATCATTCAATAATATTCATTATGATTTCAATCTATTTCAAGTATATATTATGTTTAGTTCATGGCTATATTAGATATCACTTTTATTTCCATTATATTCATTCAATTCATGACATGTTATCAATATTGAATCAATTTCATTATGTAATATGTAACCATAGTATTTCATTATAATCATTAATCATTTGTAAATACACTAAAATATATCTATATACATATACATTAATTTAGTACTATGGATTCATTACAATTATATCAATCCACAAATATTCATTGTTATTCTTCTTTTTTCTTTTTCTTATTTATCTTCTTTGTCTTCTTTTTCTTTTTTTTCTTCAAAAAACTTCTTTCTTCTTATTTTTTTAAAAATTTATTTCATACAATTTACTTATGATTAAATAACTGAAAGAAAAGAAAATAAATAAACAGAATTGAATAAAACAAATCGATATTCACTTAGCAACAATAAGAACAACAATGAGAAAAACGAAAAAAAAGAGGAAAAAATACAGACTGAAAAATCAAATATTCAATTGATTTTTTTCTATTTTTCTTTCTTTTTTTTGCCCAGAGAAAACAGAAAAAAAACCCATTTAAGACGCGTAAAATAATAATTGTCTATTGTTTGTTTAACATTTTATTGAATAGAAAGTTATGACAATAAAAAGAAAATTATCATCCTATTACGTAATTCTTATTATTTATATTACTATATATGAGTGAAATATACTACTCATTTTTGATGATTGATTATAGTTACATTTGTATCTTATATGTTGTCATAGGGATTACATAGAATTTTATATTTATAATAATATTTAATATTTTTAATTCCATTAAATAGACATAATGAAATAAGAAATGATATTTGGTTTGTTTGTTTTTGTCTGTATGTGATAGGATGTGTGGGTGTGAGGCGGTGCTTTGAACTTTCATAAGCATGATGCCTTTAAACTAAATTAAATCTGATTTCAATAGTGTAATAAGTAAGACAATAATAATCTTCATCTTTCAAAGGAACAAATAGTTTCTAATCGAATATGTTTTCTTTTCTTTTTACGTATAACTTTAATATGATTGAATATTGAGCGCCTTGATTAAAACGTTTTTTTTTATTTGTTACACAGTTATATGCTGTTGATTGGAAAATGCTTTTTCTATATTTTTTTTTGTATTCCATTTTATTCCTCTTCTGTTTTCTTCTTCTTCCCCATCGTCTTCTACTTCTTCTTGTTATTATTAATCGTTTTATTTTGTAATCTGATATCATCTATTATTATGTAATCTAATTGCAATGTGTTTCGTAACCATGAAGTGATAAATTGATGACATGGTGTTAACAACTGAAAAAAGCAAAAACAAACGAACAACACAAAAATAGTAGTTCCTGTCATCAGAATTAATGCATTTTCTTCTTTTTTTTTGTTTTTGTTGTTGTTGTTTTGTATTGGCTTAGATACTAATTTATTAAGGGTGGGGGGAATGTGTTTATTTTTAAATATTCCATCTTCATACTACTGATTTCCAAATCATATAAGTAGATGATATTACCTTTAAAACAAATGTTCAAAATGTTTTATTTTAATCATTTTTTTTTATTTCTACTATAAATTGACAAATAATTTGTGGAAAAATCGAAAGAAGCATTTTACAAAACAAGAAAGAAACAGACAAACAAATAAACAAACAAACAAACAGATAAACAATATTTTGGTTGTGATTACAAAAGAAGAAAAAATCCCCCCCAACAAAACTTATCCATTCTATGCAGATAGATACATATATATCTCTATGTTTATTTATTTATTTATCTATTTAGGCTATGAATAGCCATCCTAATTCTTATTCTTCTCTATTATATAATCATTGGATTGGGTATGATCATTTATATATATATTTTTTTTCTTTTCCGGATAGCAAATGATTATGATCTTTTACTGAAATCAATGAATTTACATTGAACAAAAGTACACATACACATACACACACACAGTCTATGTTTTTACATCTTGTATACAGATTTTTTGTTTATTTATTTATTTACCTTAGTGATTATTCTATTGCATTCACATGTTCTTTTCATCATTTATGACGTAATACAATGTAAAATAGGTGAAAAGATTTTTGCCTATCTCACTCTCTCTCTATTTCTCTTCTCTTTATCTCTGTGTATTATTTCTATAAATCTATTTGGCTTCTTGGATAATTCTATCTATCTATCTAGATATTACATAGATTGGATTATTCTTTTTTTGTGTGTGTAAGTATGGGTTCATGTTTATTTTATTGTTATTGTTACAACAGTTATTATTATTATCGCTTTGGTTTTGCATTTATTTTTCCCTTTTTTTTAAACCATAGGCTTCATTATTAAGATAGTGTTGTTGGTGATGATGATGATGATGATGATGATGACGATAACTATAAGGATGAGGACAAGGAGGAAGAGGAGGATGACAGCCGGATCCATTCATGAAATTTAAGGTTATTTTATTTCTTAAGAAAATAATCTATGTATAAATAAATATGCATAAATATATAATTAAAAGTGAAGAAATACATTTTCTCATTTCTCCATTTAGAATATATTTCTAATCAAATATAATATATCGAATTACCCAAGTTACAGTTAGTCTTCAGTCTTCAGTCTTCAGTAATAAGGATAGGAGGTCTGTCGACCTATATTAATCCTTGCAGTTTGTAATACTGTGGAGGTCCAATCTCGTTTTGAATATATTAACAGACGGTGCTGATATTACGAGTTACGGTAGAGAATTCCAGTAATTCACTACTCGGTGCGAGAAACGGAACTCCAGACCTAAACGGTTTGATCTCGGTTTTTGAACTTTCTTCGAATGTCCTCTTAAATGATTAGTTCTAGACGGAAGCGAAAGATAAGACATGTTAATACCAAGGTCATCGTTCAGTATACGATAGGTCAATATTAGATCACCCCGTATTCTACGGTAAGATAACGGAAATAAGTTAAGGTGTCTCAGTCTGTCTTCATAGGATAGGCCAGATAGACCTTGTACCATCTTAGTAGCTGGTCGTTGGACTCTTTCTAGCATATCTGCTTCATATTTGAAACAAGGACACGCTGCTTGAATCCCGTATTCTAAATGTGGTCGCACATAAATCGGGTATAGTAATCTAAACATTTCATCATCTAAATACTGGTAAGACCTACGAATTGACGATAACACCCTATAGACTTTTGCAGCAGCAGCCTTACAGTGACTAGTCGTTTTGAGATCATTGCTTAATATGACTCCTAAATCTTTATAGTTTCTTACTTTGGGTAGCACGAATCCACGTACTGTATAGTCATACGATTCATATATATTAATTTCAGTGGTTGAGATCATGAGTCAACTGAAGCTAGACAAACATGGAAAACCTGGAAGCACTGCACTACCGTTTCGTCTTATTGTGGGAATCCTCATCAGTGCGCATCCACGACCTCACCTCGCGAGATTTGAACCCAGAATCTATCGGTCTCGCGTGCGAACGCCTAAATTCTAAACAACTGAGTTGGTTGGCATTCAATGGTGTTCATGTCTAACTTCAACTAATCCACCAAATTGAGCGACACATCCACCAGTGTCATCAGTGAGTTACTATCTGACAACAGACCCGGTTTGAACTCAACTGGTTACTGCTTCTCACTAGAACTCCAGGAAATACCTCTTGAAGTCAGTCACTAGTGAGCATATGTTGATTAATATCCGAAGAGGTTTTATGCATATTATAGTAATTTCAATGGTTGAGATCATGAGTCAATTGAAGCTAGTAAAGAGTACTTGTGAAAATTGTAGAATTTTCAATTCAAATGCTAAACTGATCTTAGCTAGATCAACAGTTGAAACCTACCAGCACTAAGTGATTATTTCGTTCTAGTACTAGGCTCTTCAGTGGTATGCTTCCAAGACCCAACGTACTAGAATCAAACTCAGGGCCACTAGTCTTGAGAGTGGACGGTGTTAGTGTCTATCTAAGTTCAGGTCGTGATTTAAACTGTGAAAATATATATATATATATATATATCGTGGTGCGAGATAAATAAGGAATTTGATATCTCGTACGAAATAATTGATAAGACGATCTTGCACCAAACATTAGACCGGGTAACAGACTGAGCAAACTAAATCACGACACCACAGTTAATTAATCCCTTGTCAACAGTTAAAAAAGAGAACATTGAGCACGATGTAGTATCATTGACACAATTATAAGTAGTTTATACAGTGAAAATAGGAGTAGAAGTGGGAGAAACAATTATGAACCAGAATATTTGATTATATTTCAAATATTTACCAAAGCTGACTATCAATCTTCACCCATTGGCATATCTATCTATCTATCCACCTCTCTCTCTCTGTATATATGGAGTATGCAAGTACATACTTTCGGTTTCTTGGATAATATCACAACTGGAAACCACTTAGTTAGAGCTACATAGTCATCAATTTTATTGAATCTGTGATCGAATTCTACTTTCATTTAATTCTATCACTGGTTCACGAACTTTCTTCTGAAACAGTTTAATTTACATGTTACGATTACGTCATATGATTATTCTCCCAATTAGATGTTAGCTAGATATATAGTTACTATTTACTAAATTGTCAAAACTATTCTACTTTTAAACAGATTAACAATAATAAACATCTTAATATATTAAGTTATGCTAAATGTATAAGACTTAAAGAAACTTTGAATATACATTGAAATTGAACTTACTTATTCAATTCAATATTATAAGAAAACCTTTTCTCCTTAAATAGAGAATGAACTAAATACTTGGGTTTTGTTCATGTCCGAAATTGTACTCTTCAATTTGATCTGTCTTCGCAGATGACCTAGCCCTCCTATCACGTACACACGAACAGATGCAGATGAAGACAGCCAGTGTAGCAGCAGTCTCTGCATCAGTAGGTCTCAGCATACACAAAAGGAAAACCAAGGTCCTCAAATTCAAACGAAGAACAGCAATCTAATCACTCTTGATGGCGAAACTCTGGAAGATGTAGAATCCTTCATATACCTGGGAAGCATCATCGATGAACAAGGAGGTTCAGATACAGACGTAAAGGCGAGGATCGGCAAAGCAAGGGCCGCATTCCTACAATTGAAGAACATATGGAACTCAAAACAACTTTCAACCAATATCAAAGTCACAATCTTCAATACGAACGTCAAGGTAATCAGTTCTACTGTATGGAGCTGAAACTTGGAGAACTACTACAACCACCATCAAGAAGGCGCAAGTATTAATAAATAGTTGTCTACGCAGGATACTCAACATCCATTGGCCAGATA